GTACGATATAAATGGTAAATTATATCATCGAGACTTCTATATTCAATATGTACAAATATTTCCCACGCTAAGGCTTATTTATTGGGCAAGAAATTTTATGATACTTTTATAAGATCGACGAACAAGTTTGTTATGTATATTTGGCATTTGGTGTTTTATTGTATAGCCTTCACATGAAGATCAACATTTCAAGCTCGACCTATTTATGGCACGACATGAAACTTGTAACCGAAGTCAGACATACAAAAGGCCCAACTAGGACGTATCCAATAAGTTTGAGATATGGGCCACTTTTTGGGGGAGAATTGATTCAAATGGTTAACCTTCAAATCTTGACACAAACATCTTCAACCTCTTATTTAATGAGCGGATTTGGTCCTTTCCACTAAAATGGTTAAACTTTCAATAAAAAGACTAAAGTATCATTATATTTTAGTTAAATAAATAAGTCATATGTGAAGAATAAAAATTAAAAAGTACGGAAAAAAAATTGAAAAGAAAAAGCTACTCATCCTACCAACCAATCTCTCATAGGAACATTTCCAATGTAAATGTAGATTACTTTAAAAATTATGCCATATAAGTAAATAGAATGTATATTTAAGATATTAAAAAAAAAAAAAAACCTTTAATGTAAGCTAATAGGGACCCTGTCAAAATGATTTAATTGTTACAAAACTGATCGAAAAATTTTATTTACTACTTCAACCCACCCCTAAAAGTGTATGGTTAACCCAACTTATCAAAACTTTAGCCCTCCCTAAAATCTAATCTTAGATCTTCGATGCTTGTAACTTGGGTGGTTACTATGGTTGACTCAGAAGGGCATGAGCTTGAGCACTTTTTTTGCTTTGTTCGAGCTTTTGTACACTAGAAATCTTGGTCGATTCAATTAGTTATGCGTTCACATAATTTTCTGATTTTGTTATAATTTTTTTAAATTTTGTTTATTTTGACTTGATTTTCGGTGGATCTAGTCATGGCGGATACACATCGCCTTCAATAACTTGAATGAACTCTCTGTGTTTGCTTTGGAACCCTATAGAAGAGATAACAATGCCCAAAAAATAAGCAAATTAAGGTTCGATCTTTAAAAAAATTGTAATCTAATTTTGACATCACAATGAAAAATATCTGATTTCATCACTGAATCTAGTATGCCACATCGTAGCATGGCAAAGATTTGGCACCAACAATCGTTATCATTATAAAAGGGGAATGGCAACAAGGTAGTCGTGAGGAAGATGATAAGAAACTTTCCACAAGATATCGAGCGATTTGGAGTTCTTTTCAAGTGCACAACGATTTTTTTTTTTTTTTTTATATTTAACTTTAGAATATTATGACGGCATTTTCCCATTGGTCTAGAATCTGGGATATAACCAACTTTAAACATGATGACAACTAGCAAAAATAATTTTAGGCTTAATGAAGAAGATTGAATGGATCTGATTCTTAAAGAAGAAGATTAGGAATTTCATCAATCACTTGTTTACAAAAGACGTGTACAAAATTTTAGAGTTCTATGACTTAAAATCTTACTATAATTATAAACAATCTCGATTGTGTTTAGGTTTTTGAATATGAAGTTTCTAGATAGTATTGGGACCAGCAATTATAAAAAGATGAATGGAGTGGAAGATGATTTTCCATAACTGAAGGACCATTTGATTGTAATGATTTTAACAAGATAATCTTAAGTAAACAAATTTAAAATATAAAGTTCACATTTTAAAGCTAACATTTTTTAATCTAACAAGCTAATCTTAAATAACAATTTAATTAAATAATGATCACATTTTGAGCTAACATTATATTTTAATGAACCCACTTAGAAGTGGAGTTGTTATTCAAAGAAATAAAGAAAATATCTTAAGGAGGCAAGACCTAATCTATTACGGGCATCAAGTTGAACATCGATTACCAATAAAACCAAATAAATTTTCCTTGGGTCGATGTCTAAATAATTAAAGTAGATTCACTCTAAATTCGTTAACTAGGGGTGGACAAAAATGAATAAACCATATCAAAACCAAACCAAATGGAGCTGTTGAGTTCTACAAAAAAAATTAATGGTTCTAGCTCTGGTTCGATTTTAGTTTTCGAACCAAGAACCAAACTCAATTTTTAAATTGAAAATTAGGACAAAATGCCATGCTACCCTCGATTTCTTATTGTGGAGACTAAAGATCCTAATTCATTTTGGAGACTCGGGCCCTAATTCATTTATCATTTTCTCTCCTTTTCAATTTATACACCGACTCTCACATGAATACTAATAGATATTGCCTGCCGTCTACCATCACGCTTAGCCACTACTATCCATGAATTTCTGAAATTGAAGCATCAACTTTGCTTCTTCTTCTTTAAATGCTCTCTCTCTCTCTCTCTCTCTCTCTCTCTCTCGTTTCCTCGATCAATAATGCAAATGGAACCAAACCAAATTAGAGCCAAATGGTTCGATTTCATATCTTAAAAAAAAACCATTTGGTTCCATTATTGAAAAAAGCATTGGTTCATGGTTCAATTCAACTCGATTCTCTTGGAACTAGAATCAAATGGAATGATGTCTACTCTTTTCGTTGGCCATAGACACCCAAAACCTAAAACCTGCTAAAAATAATGGAGGATAAGTAATAAATCTCCTCATATGCACGAGTATGGTTATACAAAAATTCTCTGTCGAAATTTTTTTAAAAAAAAAAGGTGAAGTATAACTTATTTCGACAATAAAGTTTAAATTATTTTAAATAAGTAACTTATTTCCTTTAAACATTGACCAATAAAATAAATTACTTATATCTTATAGACTCCGAACATGTTCAAAAAATAATTTGAATGTTTATAAACACAAGCCAAACATCGATATATGTGCAATGTTTTACAAGCTTAGCCAAAATTTTCACTCTTTTCAAGATGATGAAACCCTAATTATTATGATTCAAGTATATTCTTGACTTGAGAGAAAAGAGAAATTTTAATCACATGTTTAAAGTTTATTGCAGCTCTAAAGTTCTGAGGAAAGGGCAAAAGAAAAAGAAAAAGAGTGAAAAATTCAAGCCAGAAAAAAAAAAATGAAACAATGCAGATAGTTTCAAGAATAAAAGTAAACAGCTAAAAATAATTTATTTATACATTGACCTTTTTTGACAAATTTATTATATAATTCTGTGACACATAGTGCAAACAAAAATATAGCGGTCATATTTTTCATTTTTGTGGCTAAAGAATAGAAAACAAACGGGGTATAAGTAAAACATGTAATTGGACACAAATAATTAATTTGTTTCAAATAGAGAAAATTTGCAGCTAACATCCTTCCTCGATGTTTGGTATGACCGTGCCCCAGCCCCGGCTTTCGAATTTTTCTTAAGCATAGTTATCAGTGATCCGTCAATACGGTGCTTTGATCGGATTAGATCTGATAACTATATATAGTAAATTAATTAATTAATATATAAAAAGTAAACTTCTATCTAAACTGTCACTCAACTTTGCCCTCAAATTAAAATTAAAATTAAAAATTTCAATACTTACTAGTGTTTTAACCCAACAAGAAGCTAGGAAAACACAAGAAAACCTTAAAAAACAATGCTTTTTCAAAAGAGACATCAAATACTTTGCCTTATTTCACAATCAAACTTTTACTTTACACATCAGAAAGAATGTTTATAAAGGATTCATTTCTTGTGCCACCAAAGCCACTAAAATTTTCAATTCTCCCAAAAAAAAAAAATCATTTAAATATTATTATATAAGGTTTTGTTTGGGAATTTAAAATTGAATTATTTACTTAACTTTTTTATTCTATCTAGAATGATTAAAAACATTGAACCAAATGAGTAATGGCTTTGCCTTTTACATCGCCAACATTCAATTGTATATACAATTTCAAAATTTTAAATGTTTAGTTATTTACAATCATAAAAGATATTCTAGGTTTGGATAGAAATAAAATCCTCGAAAAATCAGGAGTAGAGCATAAAATTTGTTTTCCTTCAATAGAGGACACCCACAACCTTGACATGGGTACCAATATGTGAAGAATGGCGAAGGATCGAAGCACGAAAAGTACCAATTAACTTTTTTTTACTGATTGTGTTTTTGCCACAATTTAACATTATACTAGAGATATAGATCAATTTGTTTAGAATGTTAAGGGATAAAATCCCACATCCAATAAAGATAAAAATATAGACCAATTTATAAAGGGTTTGGACCACTCCTATTGACAAAGTTGACATTTTAAGATGAAATCCCAAATCTTAACATAGTATCAGAGTCTATTAAGTTTCAACGAGCAATTCGATCGGCTTAAAACTCAAAAATGAGTATATGAATTTCAAAATTGGTCTGCTCAAATAAGCCATCATCTTGTGATTCCACATCCAGTAAAGATGAAAATATAGACCAATTTATAAAGGATTTGAAGCACTCCTCTTAACAAGATTGACCTTTTAAAATGAAACCACAAATCTTAACATGGTATCAAAGCACATTAAGTTCCAACGAGCAATTCGATCAGATTAAGACTTAATAAATGAGCATAACGAATTTCAAGATTGGTTTACTCAAACGAGTCACCATCTTGCAGGACATGTTAAGGGATACAATCCCACACCGAATAAAGATGAAAACATAGACCAATTTATAAAGATTTGTGTTACTCTTCTTAATAAAATTGACATTTTAAAATGAAATATCAAAATTTAACATAGAATTATATCATAGTTTAACGTTATCCACACCGAATATAGATCAAACTGTCTCAAGACATACATTCATCAAGATTTTAACTTTAATACAAGGCATTTTTATAATTTACCAAAACACTACATAGATACCAAAAACTACTTGCAACATGTGGACAAGAGACACTAACCCCCGCTAGAAAGGAAGAAGGAGAAAAAAACTACTCATATTACAAAAGTTTTTTCTCATACAAGTTAGACGAGCCAAGTATACCCTCCATTTTGTGCACTAATGGTGCCAAAGGTCAATTACATGATAAAGCAACCATTCGGATTTTCGTCGCTAAACATTTCAAATGAATCCAACGGTTGTTGTGGGTACGAATCGGAATTGGAGGGTGGCGGTGGCTCGATCTCTTGCCCCGGATACGAATAGGCATATGAACGTGGTGGTGGGGCTGCGTAATACGACGCCGTATAGCTACTAGCAGGATACGCCGTATTGTAGCTCATGGCGTACACGGGTGGGGGACCGTAGGGATGGATGGTGTGTGGGTAGTCATGATAATCATGCTGCCGTGGAGGAATATGATTAGCTGGAACGGAGATTGGAGGTGGGCCTGCATCATGATGCTTCTCTGATCCTGTGCATGCTGGTGTAGCAACACTTGATTTCGCGCACTCATTATTATCCCCATTTTGCCCTTGCCTTTTCTTCTTTTTACCAGTTGTGCAACTCACACCTCCGCCAACACTGCCGTCGTTACTTTTCACAGAAGATACGCCACTTTTACTTTCACTATCCTCTTTCTCCTCCGCCGGAAACAGTGGTTCACCGGCTGAGCTACTCTCTGGCTTCTTCTCCTCTGATTTTAACTTGGCCACTTGATCGCTGCCGCTAGTTTTTACAGGACCTTTAACTTTAGCTGAACCACCGGCATCACGTTTTTCATTACTTTTCACTTCACCACCGTCGACTTCGGCTACGCCACCACTTTTAGCTGCATAACTACTCGTTGAAGCACCTCCATTGCTTATTTTAGCAGGATTTTGAACCACTTGGACGTTCACTGCTGGCTTCTGCTCCTTTTTAGCACCATTTTCCTCGATTTTTGGTTCATTGCTAATCTGTTTCTCTTTGTTTCTTCCTTGCCCTGAATTTTTCTTTTTCTTCTCAGTTTTTTCAAGCCATAATTCTGCGTTCTTACCAGACTTTTTCAGTTTCTTGATCAAAGAATCTCCCTCTACGTGGCCAGTTACCATTACCTTTTGTTGCTTTATATCAACTTCTACATTTTCAACACCTACACAAGTTAAACAGTGTTAAAGACGATATGGTTAACAATCAGAATCGAGAGGAAAAATGATGGAACTGTTAGAAAATTACCTTGAACTTGACTGAGGATTTTCTTTACTTTTCTTTTGCAGCCTTCACAGTGAATAGAAGTTATGAGGATCCAAGTCTGTAACCCAGAGGTATATTAGAATCAAAATGAAGCTAGAGGCAGCAGTAAAAAGGGATTATAGTTCATTGAGTGAAGGAATTTTACCTTGTTTTGGATGTCTCGGAGAGGATTTTCTGCTGCTGCTTGTGTAGCCATTAGGAAGAGGATGAAGAGAGAGAGAGAGAGAGAGACGAGAAGGTAAAAGCAGAAAAAGAGGGGGACAGCGAGGCTTTTAAGAAGAGAATAGAAAACTTGGCCTTTGGGTTTTGTGCTAATGGAGTTGAGGGATTCAAGGTGCATTTATGTCCCAACATTTATTTTTGTCCACACCCTTCTACTTCCCTACTGAAAGTTTTTGTCCAAAATTATTGACCTTCATTCTCAAAAAGCTCAGTAACATTAATACTAACAGTGAGTCAAATTTCATCACATACAAGGTGCGCGGCGGATGTCTTCTCACTCAATAGACGAGATAGAGGTCAATAACCCCTCACTCAGGCATGGGTGGATTTTACATAGAAAAATGAGAGCTGCTACATTTTGCAGGACTTATACAGACGAACTATTGTCAATTTTTCCCTGGCAGTAGGTGAAAAAACGTAAAGAAAAATTGCCAATCAGGTCACAACACCTATATACTGCCTGGCAAAAAATCCCCAGTACAAGGGAAATAACTGCAAAAAAAATATCATGAGGTGACTAACTTACAATACATCAAATTAGCATCTTACTCATCTTGCAGGAAGGCTTTGAGAAATCTCTTGTAATTGGCCAAGAAACCACCAACGTTGAGTTTAGAGTTGGTATTTTGGATGCCCTGAACTGGATGCAATCAGAAATTATTTTCCACAATCCCTTGGTATTCTCACACCCACTACACTTGCATAATTAGGAGGTTGTCCTCAAGCTTTGACATTAAATGCATAAATTTCCCCAGCAATTAAATCAGACTAGCTGTGTATAAGAAAAGAAAAGACAATTTTTTAGCAATTACGCTACTTAACGAAACAACAAAGTTAACAGGGACAATTTATGAAATAAATTCAGATAAGGAGGTAGAACGAGTGCCCACTCCTACCAATATGCAGCCAAAGGTCCACGAATTCTGACTCCAGAGACATGCCAAAGATTCAGCGACCTTTTTTACAGGTTTATGCCTCTAGGCAGTGTAATTTGGGCTAAGGATTGTGCAATCCATACATGAATTTTTGAAGGATTATTTGAGCTTTTGAACTCAAACTTCTCTACAGTTGCTGGAAGCCCATAACAGAAAGTTTAATCTCATGCAAAAAAACTCCAGCGGCGTCAGCCATGCAGTCAAGTGACCCCTCAGGCAATGTCCACCCAATATCTACGTTTGAAATTTCAGATGATACATGAAATCAGGGAAAAGTTACAAGATCAATCAACAAAAATATCAAATTAAAGTCTAAAATATTTGACAACAGTGGTCCTATATTTGTAAGGAAAAATTCTATGGAGAACAGGAAAGTCAAGTTGAGACTTCATCATCCTGCAATAGCATTTTCACAAATGAGATAAAGAGGGCAAATATCAGGTCAGTATTTTCAGGTTCTCGTAACAAAGATGTTATAGCCTACTCATGCAAAGCAGAAAAAGAATTGTTTTACATATATTCCACGTCTTAAGATATTGATTTTCCAATTAAAATATTAAACCACCGTTCAGCCTGACAGAAGAAAAAGGAAAAGAAAAAAAAAAAAAAAACTATATTAACAAACCTGTAGCCTGTAGGTAATAACACATGCAAAAACACAAAATTCAGCATGATGACTTACCTTCATGCAAGAAAAATTTGCCTTTCTCAAAGCTCGAATTGTCTGCACCATGGAATCTGGTATCTTTTCTCCAAAAGCTTTTCGGTTTTCCCTCATTTTGCTGGTTTCCCTTCCCTGGAAATTACCTATCCTTAGCTGTTAACTTTTCTTTCGTTTGTATAGTTTCTCTAACATCCTTTGAGCATCAACCTCTTTTCCTGGTTTTGCAAGGACTGAACTGAGACTATAAATAGTAGTTTCACTTGGAGTAAAGCCTTTATCGCTCATCTCTTTAAACAACCTTCTTGCCTCTGCTTGGTATGAATTTTTCACTGACTTTTGAACCTTTACTTGATTTGATACTTTGCACCATCCACTAATAAGTATGTCATAGGTTGAGGAATTAGGGATCGCCCCTCTAACTTCCATCTCATTCATCAGCTCCTTAGCTTGGATCATTTTCCCCACTTTCGCAAAATCTCTGATAAGTAAGTTATAAGTGCTAGTTCGAGGAACAAAACCCTTGGTTATCATTTCACAATACAATCTTATAGATTCCTTCTTGTTTCCAATCTTCCCATGGCCAGAAACTAGGATGTCATATGTTGTAGGATTGGGGACGAAGCCCTTTGCTTTCATTTCATCAAGGAATTCATTTGCCTCGTGCATCAACCCAGCTGATGCAAGTCCCCCTAGAAGTGTATTATATGTTGTAATATCTGGAGAAACTTCTTTAAGCATCATCTCAGAATACATCCCAAAAGCGTTCTTTAGATGAAAGCTTCTGCAATATCCACGTATAAGAGCATTGTAAGTGATAGTGTCAGCTTGAAAGCCTCCTCCTACCATTTCTTCTAATACTGACATTGCTTTTGCAGTCATCCCTAGTCTGCACAAGATACTGATGAGAGTGTTGTAAGTTGTCTGATTGAGATTAAGACCCATCCTTACCAACCGCTCATGCATCGCCAGGATTGTGTTGGCCTTTTTACTCTCCGATGCAGAGCTAAGTAGGAGTTTGTGAGTGATTGAGGTAGGACAAAGACCCACACGAGACATCTCATTCAACAAATCCATAGCTTTATCTACTTCACCTGACTTACAAAGCCCTCCCACCATGAGATTAGAAGTAATTGAATTAGGCATTAATCCATGAATTTTCATCTCATCAAGGAGCTGAAATGCATTTTCCAATTTTCCATCTCTACAATATGCTTTAATCATGGTATTAAATGTAGCAAGATCTGGAGCTAAACCAAATCTTTGCATTCCAATATAAACAGATTGCAATTCATAATGACCAAGCCCAAGCAATCCATTAAGCAAAACATTGTATGCAATAACATCAAACCCTAAATTTTTCTCTGTGATCTCCTGGGCCCATTCAAGAGCTGATGAGTCTTTTCCTGCTTTGAACAGTCCATCCATCAGGGTCGTGTAATTGACACGGTCAATTAACAGTCCCCTTGACATAGAATCTCTAAACAATGCCTCAGCTTTATCCATACTTCCCTCCCTTTTCAAATCGTTCACGAAAGCATCCAATATAAAGTTGTTCTCCTCCACCCCTCTGAGTTTCATGTCCTCATAGAGATCTTGAGCAATTTCCTGTTTACCAGCTTTTAAACAGCCATCTATAAGGGCACTATAGGTAAAAACGTTAGGCAAGACATTTTGGGAAACCATGTTCCTCATGGTATTAACAGCTGCATCAAGCATTCCACTTTTCATGTAGCCGTCAATTAGAGAGGAATAAGTAATGACATTTGGAAGAACATTTCTCAGCTCCATTTGCTGCAGAACAATCTCAGCACCCTTCATGTCACCTATTTTACAATGCCCATCAACCAAAGCAGAATAAGTTATGCGACTTGGAACTAAATTAGTCTCCAAAAGAATCCTATACATATCTTTAGCATCATCTGCCCTTCCAACCTTAAAGAGACCATCAATCAAAGTGGTAAAGACCACCAAATCAAAGGACATTCCACGAACCACCATGTGAGTCAACAGGCTAAATGCAGCCATTATGTTCCCATTTTTAAAAAGATAATCAATGAAGACAGTGTAGGTAACGTGATTTGGATCCACACCCAGCTCTAACATCCGCCAGAAAAGTGATCTAGCTTCAGCAAACTTCCCATACTTACATAGAACATTTATAATAGAACTAAATGTAACTACATCGGCATCTATCCTGTTCCTATTCATTTCATCAAATGTACCCAAAGCTTCCTCGATTCTATGTTGCTTACAATACCCACTAATTAAATTAGTGTACGTAATATGGTTTGCTGTCAAACCTGATCCCACAACCACTCTGTTTTCTTTTTCCTCATCATCACTTGTGGAAACGTTGTGCTCCAAGAGCTCATCCATTAGTCTCTTGGCACTCTCAAAATCCCCCATTTCACAGAACCCGTCAATCAAAGTATTATATGTAACAATATCAGGCAATACACCAGCTACTGTCATACACTTCACCAACTCAAGACCACCACTAACCTCACCAGCCTCACAATACCCATGTATCAAAGTATTAAAACCCACAACATCTATAGAGATTTTATTATCAACATCTATGTGATCATTAAACATTTCCATCACATATCTAGCATTTTCCAGCATACCTTTTTCACAATATCCCTTCATCAGTATATTACAAGTAAAATTATCAATATTCACCCCACTCTTGACCATCTGAGAGACAACCCCAAGTCCCGTTTCAACAAACCCGTGTTTACAAAAACCCCATATCACAGTATTATAAGTGACCCCATCACTCTCAAATCTAAAATGTGCATTATTTCTCAATAATTCAAGTGCCCTTTCAATATTTCCTACTTTACACATAGAGTGAACTACTATATTCTTGGTGGCCACATTGGGGCTCACACCACAAGAGATCATTTCTTGGTAAATGAACATTACCTGTTGAACCAATCCAGAGCTGTTGAAGTGGTGCAAGAGGCGGTTCCACGAGGGAAGTTCCGGTATAAAATTGTAATCTCGCATGGCGGAGAAAGCTGAGATGGCTCTGGAAAGTTGGTCACATCGGAGGAAGAGATGGATAAGAGTGCAGAACAATGAAGGGTAGAATTGATTTGGGTTTCTGATTGTTGTTTTGACACGTTCCGGCGATAATGGTGTGGATGAAGAATAGCACAGTTTTGGGTTGCAAGAAGAGAGTAAAAAGAAGAACTTACTTCTGGTGACAAGATGTTTGATGAAATGCCGCTGTTGTTTTATGATCATGTCGAAGAAGGAATGAACATATTTTGCTGATTGGGATTCTATTAAGATTTCTTTATGGTCCTTTTCAAGAACTGAGAATTCGATAGCAAATGCTGATTTGGGCTACTTTTCTTTTGGTTTGACTTGCTGCTTGAATTTCTGCTGCGCCTTTTTCCAGTTGAAGAATCGCAACTGGAGGGAAGAGGAGCCGCGAACGTGGAAGTTGGGCGCGTTTGGTGCAATGGAAAAGAGAGGTGGAAAATAAGGGTTAATTTCATTTTTGGTCACTGAACTTTAATTTATTGTAATTAAATTATCTAAATTTTATTTGCTTGCGATATTGGTTACTCCATTTGTCCCGTTAGTAAAATTGGTCAAGGTTTAGTGTATATACACTTGATTTCTTTTCTTTTGTGTGAGTGATTTGAGGATTTATTTTAATAAAGAAAAAAAATTGTATACTGAAAAGATAAAAAAAGAGAAAAGATCAAGGTCCAAAAGGTAGAACCAGGGTAAAATTGGGATCGAACTAGTGATTTTTAAAAAAATAAAAATAAAAAGATTTAAAAAAATTACATTTACATAGGTTAAACAAGCTAAATTGGGAATAGATCAAATCGGGATTGAATTAGTGATTTTTAATAAATTAAAAAATTATATATGTAAAAAAAATTAAAAAATTTACATCTTCATAGGTTGGATCGACTAAATCGGGGAATGGATCATGGATTTTCAAAAAATCGATTGATTTAAAGAATTTTAGGGTGGGTTTTTAATTAGAGGTTTTATATGCCTAACCAGGCCGATTTTGGTCCCAAGTCCTGGTTGAATTGATTGAATTGGTCCGATTTTTAAAACATTGGTTTTCATAGCCCTTAATTTGTTGTCATCATTTTTTTTTTTAAATATTTGTTCGTGTGTTTTATTCATCTATGAACAAAAATATATAGACAAGTAAAGAGAATCTTCACATTTCTCAACAAGTGGTATTAAGACGTCGTGTTGTTTGAAGCAATGGGCAAAGGAAAAAAAAATATATGACAAGTGTGATTATGACATGGAGAAATTTGTTTGGAGAATCAGTTTTGGCTTATGATATGTACAAGTCAAGACGCCTTGATTTGAGCTAAACTGGACAAGGTATCAAAAGAAAACCAACCCTTAATTCTGATAGGATTGCCTAAAATTATGTATCGGTAACGATTAGAAGATTTTGGAACATTTGTTGCAATGAAGTTTTGCAAAAAAATTGAACACATATATTGGACAAGATCTTTTAAATTAGTTGTAATCGAAGGAACTCCTTCATTCTTTGTGAATGGAGCAAGTACGAATATCTCATATCATTTGATGGATCATGAAATAAATGTTATTGGAGTCGAAGTTAATTATTAATATAAAAAGTGTCAAGATTGATTTGTCTCTTCAATCTTCCTATGAATCAAACCAAATTTGATGTATGAAGAAGACAGCGAATTTTGTATGAGTAAACTAATTTCGGAAGAAAGAACGATAGGTAAAAATAATATTTAATTCGAAAACTTGGTCCTTGTTGATGAAAAGTGGAAGAAGAATTATTACATGAAAAAAAAAGGTTATTTGTTGGCACTGTGGACGACATGATCACTTGAGGAAAAATTGTCCAAAATGTGGAGCTGAACCGACTAATTGCTCGAAGTCGAACAAATTATTTATTCTTTTTGTTGATCTCAGAAAATTAACAAATTAGTTTACCCATTGTTATATTTTCATTTTTCTTAATTCACCAAAAAATGAGCACTTTCAGAATTTGCACAAGGCAATCAAAATTTCTAACAAACCTCTGTTGTCCTATTTTCAATCCTGCCAAAAATAAAAAAAAAAAAAAAAAAAAACCTAAGGAGATAATTATATTCAAAAATATATTTTAGTATTTGTATTCATAAGCATCAATATAATATTTTTGCTTATTCAAATGCTAATTTTAAAATAAAAGCTTACAAAATACTTGAGCAATTTGTCAATCCCAAAATCTGAATCGATGATGTGACCAACAGATCCCAACTCCTCTCACATTCACATAATTTCTTTCTGCACTTGGACAAACCATTAGAGCATGTGACCATCTTCGATGGTAGAGGAGGTTGTTGTGAGCATTCCAACAGTCAATTCAATCTATGCACAAATGAATATTTGGGTGGTAAACGAACTAAAAATGTGCCAATAAGTAAAAGGAGTCAGAGTCGAGAGTCTAGAGGATAATATGAGAGCAAAGTTGTAGCTAAATGTATAAAGTTGCATTACCTTCAAACAACACTAAGTGTGAGATATTATAATTGAAGAGGTGTGATACTGATTGTTGAACGAAAAGATGCGTAGCCTCATTCTGATGGTTGAGGCATCCTTTCATAGATATCAATTTGTTTATCATAGGATGTGCGGCATTTGATGTTTATTACCATTACCCACCCTAGAGCCTAGATCTGATATGTAAGTAGTAGACTCAAAAAAGTTAACTTGGTAGAGTGATTACTGTAGAAACGTCACATCCGTGGATGGATTTAGGGGTGGGCTTTAGCCCACTATTGCCCTTTTCTTGGGAAAATTACGCAAAAACCTACATTTTAAGTATACATTTCACTTATGAAATCTTAAACTTTTCTTTTCACAAATCAAGGATTAATTATTTAATTAAAATTTATTAAACCCACATCTCACCACTTCTCTCTCCTTATCACAAAAATCACATCTCACCATTTCTCCCTCCATCACAGAAATAACCTCAAAAATACCTGGCTCCGACAACAAAAACGAGAGAAAAATTTACTCCGACGGCCGCGTTTGGAAGGAAAAAAATATACTCCAACGGTCGATCTGCTTTGGGGGTAAAATCTTGGGGGGTGTGGTGGTGGTGGTACCGATGGTGATGTCGGTTGTAGTGATGTTGGTGGTGTCTAACGGAAGGGTTTGGAGGCGATGGAAGACCAAGAGAAAGGTTTGGAGGAGGGAACTGGAAGAGCCACCAGCAGCAGCCCGTCTCCACCACCAACAGCAAAGTTATTATTATTAATTATAGGGATTATTTATAAGTTAGTTTTTATCAAATGAAAAAAATTTGTAGAATATTTCATTCTAGCAAAACGTTAACGAAGCTCATCGGCCAATGAGCGAGGTTTAAGGTCGACGATCAATGTATGGCAATAGGATCCTCATTTACATATTGTTCGATCATGTTGACCAAAAAGGGATAAATATATTTTGGGCACTCCAAATTTATGGTATGTTTAACTTTATTAATCAAGTTAGCATTTTCTGATAAATTTTATTAGTAGTTTATGTTAAATCTATTGGAAATTGGAATAAGACCAATTTTCAATTTATTCTGATATATAATCACATAAATGAAACTTTTCTGAATTTACGCCACAGAAAAATTAAATTACTAATTTGTGTATGGATGAGTGAACCATGGAGGAGGAGGTCATAGATGCCTGGCCACCGTTTACTTTGTCAAGAAATGCAAAATGGTGGTGAAGAGATGGCTGAGTGGACTAGAGCGTCCTACAGCACGTCCTTGTACAATGCTCAAGGCTCTCGGCTGAGTAGCAGGAGCAACTTTTAATTTATTATGAGCCCAAACGATGGATTCAATAAGTTCTTGTTTGTCGTGCGTATTCTGTTTCATGCACTAGTCTATCTCTTTTTATGTATATAATTGTCTTTTCAAAAATTCATACCAATTGATCGAATCATTCAACTTTTGATGACTCGTTCCTTTTTCAATCTCATTACTTTAGTTATTTTACTTTAAAGGAAGGCCGAGCCTCCTTCGTTTTTATTTTCTATTTAAATTGGATAAATATCCAGACTTTCTATTATTATATATATATAGAAAGGATCCTTTTCCTGACATAGTTGGAATAGTGATTGGATGTGCGAAGTCTGTCCGTATTAATTGTGATTGATTGTGACTAAGTCTATCTTTATTATGATTATTCGTGACTAGATCTGTCTTACTTGTGACTGACCAAATTAACAGTGGCCTGATTACATACATTCGAATTAGACTGAACTGGTCACAGACAGTCACTTTGAAGACAAACTGGTGTGGAATGACAATTTTTTTCATCCCATTATTCTCTTATCCTAAAAAAGGAAAGAAAGAAAATGAACGAGAGCTACTTTAACATCAACCAATTCTATTTATAATTCCAATTTTGTGACCTAAAATGTGTGATTTGTAATTAAATTTGTAATTGTGACCTATAATTTGTGTCTTCGGGATTGATAAATAAATTCTGATCAATTATTTAATTATTTGTGATCAAGTTTGTGTTAACTGTAATCTATTGTGACCAGGTCTGTTTTTACTGTGACTGTACGTGATCAAGTTTGTATTGACAATGACGTGTAATGAGACATATTTTAAAAATGATTGTTTGTGACAAACCTGATTACATAAAGTTTGTGACCATTTATATGTTGATTGTGACCTTGTGTGACAAAAGTCTGCGTTATCTTGGATTGACTGTGACCAATAATTTGTTGAATGTGACATGTTATTTGATTATGACCTGTTATCACAATTATTATCAAAAAATTTATTTGACCAGAAACTAATCTAAATTAAAGACTTAGGTTACAATCAATCGTGATAATATTTTATGGGTGAATTCATGAAATTGTGGCTAAATGAATTCGATTATTGAAATTTTGAGATTTGGATTCATCAATTGTGGGAAAATACAGGTGAAGCTGATGAAGGTAAGAGAATAGTTGAAAAGATAATTGATTAAAAATGTATGTTTATTTTAAAGATTCTCTAACGAATAAATTTAAATTTTCTCCCAAAATTCTCCCCTTTGCCCTCTCTCTAGAGTTTCCTCTTTCTCTGTTCTCCAGATTTTTTAACGATTATAAATTTTAATTTTTTACCCAGAACTCTCTCTCTCTCTCTCTTCCCCCTGCTTATGGCTTTACTCGTCTCTCTTCTCTGTAGGTTTGTACGCCATCGTGAAGGATTTCATTTTGAATCCATGGAGACGACGCTTTTTATGGAGGTTTAGAGGTAATTGTGAAGTTTGTTAGATGGAATCAATGGTGAAAATTTAAACTGGAGTATGATTGAAGGGCTTAGGTGAAAAAAGATCGACAAAAGACAATGGGGAAGTGTTGAAAGAAGCCAAGAAGATTAGAAGCACGGGTTTGGTTGTGAATGTAAAGGTGGAGTGTGTGTATTATGATTTAATACCTGATTTATGAAACTTTTTAACAAGTTTGATAAATATGAAATTGTATTATTAATGTATTGTAATTATGTATTTTTCCC